CACTATAAGTATGTAGACTTTCGCCATCTATACTCTTGCATATCTAAATATGCTCAGTATCTTATTTGTGTTTTCGTAATGTTCACATCTCTTAGACTTTACACTAGTTTAAAATGTATAGAACACTATCTGTAGAATTGTGGTTTTGACGGTTTTCCTTCTTACGAAACAATTATTGTTGGTTTCAAATATAGTGACAAGTACTATTAGGTTCACTACTCACTCAACTAATTCACTGTTACTGCGCCATATGTTTATTTGCCCTGCTTTCTTCTCTGCGTATGTTCTCCTAAGTGGTTGTAAAGTCTCTGAATTTAGGGTCATGGGTTATATATGCTCCACTATATTCCTTGTTAAGGAAAAGTACTCAGCTAGACGTGGTGGTGCACATCTGTAATCCTAGCACAACAGGAATGCCCCAAACTAGAGCTAAGTCTGGGTAACCTGACAACTGAATGAGACTGTCTCAAAATAAAATACAGAAAAAGGACTGGGGAGGTAGTTCAGTGCAAAGGCCCTGGGTTCAATCCCCAGTACTGCAACAACAACGATGAAAAAGTGCCAAAGCTTGTACATAACACAAACATATGAAGCAGACATATACACTTTCAATATCATATTAGAGCTTTAATATTGGTGGCTGCCCAAGGATATTTAATTGTCCAGGAGAACAAGGAAAACAGTGGTGTTAGTTCAGTTAGTCAAGCCTAAGGTGTTTGCTACCCATTATTTTTAAAGGCTTTCATGAAATGCATTTCACATACCATAAAATTCACCCATTAAGGACAGTTCGGGGATTTTTAGCATAGTCACAGAATTGCAATTTAATTTTAGAATATTTTCAACACAAAAAAGCTATAACTAAAGTCTTAATGATATAAATTCCATAATAATGTGTGACTCTGCATTCAAAAGAGAGGCAAATTATTTCTGCTTGCTAATGAAAGTAACCCCACAGGCTATAATTTTGTTGCACTGGAATTTAACCAGTTGGTATCTAACCTGGTAATAATATTCCTACATTCCTTCTTCTCCTTCTCCTTCTATTCTTCTTCTTCTTCTTCTTCTTCTTCTTCTTCTTCTTCTTCTTCTTCTTCTTATTATTATTATTATTATTATCAGTCAGTGTTTACCAGAGAATTGGATATAACACAAGACATACAAATATTTAAGAATTTACAAAATTGGCTTACAATGGTCACCCACAGAGCTGGGTGTAGAAGAGGCAAAAGTTTGTCTGGTCATTGGGGATCCAAAGGATCCAGTCAAAAGCCTGGAACTCCATGCAGTGTCCTGTGAGAGTCCGTATCAGGAGGCTGAAGGGTCTGCGCTGGAAGGCTAGTGCCTGCTCCTTTCATTCTCCTTTGATCCAGATTGATCATCCTGTTCATTCATGTTACCCCATGAATGAATGAATTCCATCTTTGACACATATTCATTCTATATTTGCATGAGAGGCATGGTTTAAAATTTCTGAAATGTATTCTGACAACCTGAATCCCCTTAGCCTGATGACAGGACATAGTGGGCCATTAACAAATATAACTTGAATGGCTGGAGAGCTTCCTGAGTTTTAAGCTTTAGGAGGTAGAATGAATTTTTACAGGTCTTAAAAATAAGCAAATAGAGTTGCATGTTATTTTGTACTTTCATTCTCAAATTCTGAAATTTCATGCCAGAGTTAAATTTAAATGAAGCTATTTACTGGCTTCTACATGAAGGGTGGAAGTCAAATATTCTAAGAATATAGTTTTACTGGCACAATATTTTACCAACCTATAAACTTAAGATGTTGTTTCTTTTTATGAAAGTAGTATATGTAGCAAAAAAAATTGAAAAGTATAAAAGGAAATGCCCTGAAAAAAGTCTTCATCCTGTGACTTCCCGCAGGTGACAAGATGCGTCAGAGTAGCTCTTGCTACAAGTTTCTTGTGCATACTTTCACACACACACACACACACACACACACACACACATACACACACATACACAGCCTTTGAACTTTTCATTCAAAAATATATGATATAGGGCTGGACTTGCAGGCTCACCGTTGGAGCATGGCTCTAACATTGTGAGACTCGAGGTTCAATTTCTAATGCTTGATAAAAAAAAAGACATCATCTGTATTCTTTTGTAATGTTTGTTTGTTTGTTTGTTTTGAGACGAGGTCTTGCTATGTAGTTTAAGCTGGCCCTGAACTCACTATGTAACACAGGCTGGCCTCGAACCCATGGCGATCCTCCTGCCTCAGCCATCCGAGCACTGGGATTACAGTTGTGTAACACCATGCCCGGCTTGTAATTATTTAACTTAGTAGTATTTATTGAATGATGTTTAATATCTGTATAAATCAGTACACTGAGACACACCTCAGTTGAATATGTCCGTGAGCTGGGTATTTTCCATTCCTTTCCCCGAGGCCATACATCTTCCTCATGGTTACCACTTGCAGGAGTTGCTCCACTCCACCCCTTCCCCTGGCACCACCACAAACATTTCAGTATGGTGGCCAGAAAGATCCTTTGTGTGTGTGGATCATAATGCTGCCCATTCAGCGCAAAACCTCTACAATGCCCATTCAGCGCAAAGACTCTACAATGGTCGATGAGGTCTGTTCCATGAGAGTTTGTCCTTCTAGCATCTCCCACTTACCTGTCAGACTCATCTTCAACTACTCTTTCCCCACTCACTCCATTCTTGAGCTCCTTAAATGCAACTGGTGTGCTCTATCCTAAGCACAGGTTGTTATTCTGGGCTTGACCTTTTGCTGTTCCCTCCAGACATCAGCATGGGATTTTCCCTGCCCTCCTTTATATTTTTGCCTACATGTTGCTTCTCACTGAACCTTCCCTCACAGCACCTCCATGCCCTCCCATCCCACATGCCTACTTATCTCTCTCTACACCCCTTATCAGCATTGACATACCACATAACTTACTTAATTACTGCCTGTGTGCAAGCTCCAGGAGACTGAAGAATTTTGTCTTTTATCCACTGTTGGATTCTCAGCACAAAGTCTGCACCACATAGTATTAATTGAACAAATGGATGAATTTATGCACATGTAGTAATACTTATATATGTCAGTTCTATTAGTGTGACCCAGCCTAGTGTAATTATCCATTGCTGCATTTTGGGACTTTCATATCATTTGGGCTCTTATGATTTGGTGAAGCTGCTTAACTTCTCTGAGTCTTAATTTCCCCCCTATAAATCAAGGCTGATATTCATACCTCTATCTTATAGGGCTGCTGTGAAGCTTAAAACTTTTCTAAAATTTAACAAGGTTGGCCTGCTGGGCATGGTGGTGCATGCCTGTAATCCCAGCACTCACAAGGCTGAAGCAGGAATTTGAGGCCAGCCTGGGCTATATAAGCGAGTTCAAGGCCAGCCTGCATCACATAGGGAGACCCTGCCTCAAAAAAACAAAAACAATACAATGGTTGGCATCATGCCTGTCTTATAGTAAGTTCTCAAAAATATGGTTGTGATTTTTCTAATTTTTAATGATTACATTAAATTGGATTTATGAGAATATATAGTTTAGTATCATATGTAATATTAATATATAATAATTTATAACATTATATATAGTGAAAACCAAATTCTTACTTTTAATCCTGAGTGTGTTGACTTTTAGTGATTATCCCTTTATAATACAATCAATATAAGCCCCTTTGTTCCTTTGTTGGAGAAGTAACAGCTCTTAAAAAAATATTTTAGCTCTTCAGAGGCAAAGAACTTTACTGCATCTCCCTTTTCTAGCTGGTCTCAAATAATATACTTGCTCATTAAATTTTGTTTAATACATGGAAGGAAGGATGAGGCCCAACTGGCACAAGTAAGTTCATATTGTTTGAAAAGCGATAATGTGCTAGGCACAGCCATAGGCAAGGGAGATACAAAAAAGAACATTCTGTGGTTGGTATTTATTTCAAGACCTCTACACAGCAATCAGTGAGTTTGGAGGATGTGTACTGATTTCAGAAGTAGTTTTTTCACTGGGGGAGGGGGAATTTGGATTCATAACCTCGTGAAAAATTAAAAATAAATCCAGAAAGATGTCTTTGCCACAATTTCTCTGAAGAGCTCTTCAAAGAAAGAAAACGTCAATGGTTTATCAAGCAGACATCAAGAGTGAAGCAGAAGATACATCATAGTGGGAAATGCTACGGTGATTCAAGACCTCTGTGAATTCCTGTGGTTCCTAGTTAAGTCCCCACATGTTTTGCTTACCGCCACATCTCCCTGTTTGTCTGGAACAAGAGTGTAACAGTTGGACATGCTGCTTGAGGCACAGAAAAAACTCTGATCTGAGTTGTAAGACCTAACAGAATCCACCTCTGTACTCTGACCGTAAGCAAGACAATCCTGAGCCTGCTTCCCCGTCCATAAACTTGTTTTTGAAAAACTAACTTCCTGCAAACTTCAAATGCTGAGAAAGTTTTCTGTCACATGCAAAATTTTCTATCTGTGACAATCAGACTGGTGCTGATAGGTAGCAGAAGCTTCTCTGCACTATTACTGTTCATCCAACATCTCCTGAGTACCTGTCTGAACCGTGCTACCTACATACTGAGGGGATGGCAAGCATCGATTGGATCCCTGCCCTTGCCAAGTACAATGTCCACCTCTAGGGTTTTATCTCCAGGAAGTAATTCATGTGGAGCAAAAATCTTTGTAGCAAGATGGTCTGTGGAGGGGTGTTTGCAAGAACAGTAAAACTGGATGGGTACCTCCTGGATGTTCACAAAAACAATCGTTTCATGAATTTAGCATCTCAATATTTTCATTAAAAAGAGTATTCTGCCTTCTCCAATTAAAAACAATACCCCATGACAGGGCCAGCCTGCTTTCCCTGGAGGCGGTAGCTTGTGTGTTTTTGTTTTCATTGTTTTGAAGGGCTGCTGAAGCCATCTTGAGGGGAGGCTCCTGGGAGGACAGGACAAAGGGGTGTGTGTTGGTGACAGGTCACAAAGGACAGCAGAGGATAAATGCAGTGGTGTGAAGAGATGTAGGCAGAAGCCTTGCAAGGAGATGGTATGTTGCCATCACTCCCTCTCTCTCTTGGGGACTCAATTTGTAGCTGGCAAAGATGTCTGGAGGAAAAAGAATTCGAAGCAGTGAGTGTGTGCTGCCTTATTACACAGCCCGCAGCTACCGCTCGATGGGCGTGTTTAATACCTCCATGGGGGACCTGCAGCGGCAGCTGTACAAGGGAGGAGAGTATGAAATCTTCAAGTATGCACCAATGTTTGAGAGCGACTTTATCCAGATTAGCAAAAAAGGAGAGGTCATCGATGTGCACAATCGTGTGCGAATGGTGACTGTATGCATTGCGTCCACCAGCCCCGTTCTCCCGCTCCCTGACGTCATGCTGCTGGCCCGGCCAGCTAAAGTCTGTGAAGAGCATGCCAAACGCGGCCTACTCCCCAAAAAAAGAACTCAGATGCCCAAGAGGACTCTAGAGCTCACCAGGCTACTTCCCTTGAAGTTTGTTAAGATCTCCATCCACGATCGTGAGAAACAGCAGCTGCGCCTGAAGCTTGCCACAGGCCGAACTTTCTATCTGCAGCTGTGCCCCTCTTCAGATACGCGCGAAGATCTCTTCTGCTATTGGGAAAAGCTTGTCTATCTCCTGAGGCCACCAGTCGACAGCTGCAGTAGCACCCCAACTATTCAGACTGGGGATGCAGGCACTCCTGAGGACATCAAGAGTCTACTGGTAAGCAGGTGGAGCCCCAGGGAAATGGGGCAGAGGGCTTAGGGAGAGAATCCCAATGCAGGTCCTACAGGGCTTTCCATGCTGGGAGATGCATTGCATTTGAAAGGGCTTAGGGCCAAATGAACTACCACTAGGCACTTAGCATCTTGGGCAGTTAAGTGCTTCTCTAAGATGCACCAAAGGCCAAATATCAGACATCTTAGGTATCAACTACTCTGTCTCACATTCAATGCTGTAACGGCTTCTACAATATCCTGATGGTCCAATTTCTTCTTGAACATTTTATACCTGAACCTATTCATTATGGAACTCTTAAAAAATATATATTTTTGTGTTTTAAATGATGCACTATAATTGTACCTATGTATATAGTACAGTGTGATATTACAATGCTTATATGTAACATGTAATAGCCAGACCAGAGTAACAAACATATCCACCACCTCAGACATTTATCATTATGTTGTGCTTGGAATAGTCAAAATCCTCTTTTTTAGTTTTTGAAATATATAGCTAATTTTTTGTCAACCAAGTTATCCTACTATGACATAGAACATTATGTTAATCCTCCTACCCAACTACACCCCATACCCATGAATCTCCCTTCCTATACCTTCCTCTGTGCGCTCTCCCCAAGTTCTGACAAACACTAGTCTATTCTCTATTTCTCTGAGACCAACTTTTTAGTGTGGTACATTTTAAAAACTAGAAAGTCCTTGTTTCGTTTGAGCCATGATCTGCCTCCCTGTGACTACAATGGGCTGTTCTGTATAAATCAACACAACACATATGTGTGTATACAAACACACAATTTGTTTCAGCAGCCACCAAAATGTGAAATGTAAACCCAGATCCAACAATCCCACCTCTAGACATCTGTCTTGAAAAGACTGAAGATGAGTGTGTAAACAAAATCCCAGGACAGGGAGTTGTATCCGTGATATCATTGGCACTAGTATTGTTGGAGTGAAACTGATTTTTGACAGAGGTGTAAAGATGGGGCCTATAATCAGTGTGACCTAAAAGGTGATGATTTCAGGGGTTCTAATGATGAGCCCTTGAGTTGCTCAGCTCCAGGATGAGAGCACCAGGCAGTTCTGACTTTGTTTTCTCTATTTCACCTGTTCCCTCCATCTATTCTTTGGCATAGGCTTCAGACCTCTGTGGAGAAGGGGACCAGGATTCTGGGCTTCTGAAGCTTCATGAGGTGCGTGGAGCCAGCTCTTCTGCTTTTGCTGGGGGAGAGGGAATCCAACTTGCTGCTCTTGCAGCATCAGCCACAGGAGGAGCAGCAAGGACAGTGGGTGGTGTGGCAGCCGTGGGGACAACAACCGGTCCTACAGCAGGTACGGCCGTGGCAGGGACAGCGACGCGCCCTGCAGCTGGTGCGATGAGCATGGCAGCAGCTAAGTCTGCAGGCTCAGGCCAGGTAACCACAGCCCTGGCAGGGACGGCCATCAAGGAGTCCGGAGAAGGCAGAGCCAGCAAGGCCGTGGCAGCTTCTGCCAGTGTATCTGCGGACAATATCAATGTGGCGATGGCGGGCGCTGCAAGCAGCTCCTCAGCGGGAACTTCCACGGCGGGTGCCGCCAGTGTCTCCCAGGACAGCATGAATGTGGTTTTTGCAGGCACCATGATGACCAAGGCGCCTATGGGAGAAAAAGCTGAAGGGTCAGCGGTGGTACCCGTTGTCTCAGCCTTGCAGAGTGAAAGCTACATGTGTGAACGGGATGGTAGCCAGAAGGTTTCCCAGGTCAGTGCTGAAGCCAGGAAGGAGAAAAGGGAAAGAAGAGAAAAGAACAGAACTGCCAGCAGGAAAAGTTCCCATCACCGCAGGACAGGTGAAAGTCACCGGCACAGGTCAGGTGGGCACAAGAGCCGGAAATCATCATCCCACCATTCTGTGTCTGGCCACAGGAGCAAGAGAGAAGAAAAAAAGGAAAAAGGGTCAAGAAAGGCAAGGAGCAGCAGGGGACGCAGTTCCCCTCACAAAAACGCCAGCCGCAGTTCCTCCAACAAGGGATCTAGGACCTCTCGCAAAGCAGGGAAAGGACGATCTGCAGCCAGTTCAAGCTCTGTAAGTAAGAAATCCAGTAAAATCAGCTCATTTCTGAGGAGCTTCCTAACTGCATCTAGTTCCAAAATAGCCCTTGGATCACGTGACAGAGAAGTAGACATCATGACAAAGACAGTGGAAAAGCGCAACATAGAGACAAAGGTGGAAAAGGGCCAGGCAGGTCAGGAGCTGGAGCTCTACGGTACCATGACATCTGAGACAACGGAAACGATCATCTTTGAAGCCGTATCCATTTAAATAGGAGCCAGGCGGGAAGCTAGAACCGTAACAACAGAGAGTTGGGCTCAGGAAAATATCCCCAGTGAGCCCATTACAGTTCAAATAATAAAGGTCCTACAACTCCAAAAGTATACTGTCTTCTGTTTGAGTTTCTCCCACCCACTGCCTGGCAGTGACCTCACAGTGGCTTCTGTGATGTTAATGCTCCAGGCAAGGACAGCCTCACACTCCCAGGCCCAACAGAGCCAATGCTGAAGACAGAACTTCAACTCCTTTCTGCCTTTGATTCCCTAAGATTATAAAGGTTACAGATGATGGGTTGGATCCCTCACCACCATCATATCCTCATGTCCGTCTTCCCTTCCTCTGAAGGTCTGTGAATACGGAGATTCAGTCCAGTCTGTAGACAGAGAAAGATTATCCTCATATTTCCATAGCGGAATGAGAGGATGCGGTAACATCTGCACGCAACTGGAATAGGGGAGCCATCAGGACTTAGCAGCACATGTTCAGAGGTCCATACAGTAGCCAGCTGCTCAGATTTGTAAGCAAAATTTTACCAGAGCACATTCACAGCTATGTATGGTCTTGGCTATTTTCCCACCAAAATGGCAGCTTTGCAGTAAGGCCATAAAGACTATATGACCCACGGAATCTAAAGTACTTACTTTCTGGCCCTTTACAGAAAAAATTTGCTGACTCCTGAGCTAATCTTAGCAATTCTCCTTCCTCCCATGTCCATGCCCTGGAGAAAAGCTCACAAGTGTTTATCAGGAGACAGAGACATGAATGTTTATACTAAAACCATTTGAGGGGGCTGGGGATTTAGCTCTATGGCACAGCGCCTGCCTGGCAAGCACAACGTCTTGAGTTCGATTTCCGGTACCCCCCCAAAAAAAGACAAAACAATTTGCAACTGTAAAATCCTGGAAACAGCCCAAATGTTCACCAAACAGGAGAAATGATAAACTGGTACATGCCGCAGGGCCTGCTATACAGCAATGAAAATGAATAGCAGGTATTCACTTGAGCATAGGTGAATCTTACATAACATTGAATAATAAAAGTCAGAGAAATACACTCCATAGAGTTCCATGTATACAATAGTACAAGAAGAATAAACCATATTTGAAGCATGTATTTGCCAAAAACAGTAGAATAAACAAAATTCAGGATAGTGGTGGTCCACAGGATAAAAAGGAGAGGTGTGGGCTGTAGGAAGAAGTTGGAACAGAGTGGGAATTGTTTATTTTTTGTGGCACTATGGATTGAACCGAGGGCCGCATGCCTACTAGGCAAATACTGTACCACTAAGCTACATCCCCAACATCCATTTGATTTTATATTTATTTTGAGATAGTGTCTTGCTACATTGCTCAGGCTGGCCTTGGATTTAAGATCCTCCTGCCTCAGCTTCTTGAGTAGCTGAGATCACAGGAATGTTCCACCATGTCCAGCTGAATTGTTTTATTTCTTAAGCAAGAGAATATATCTATGGGAGTCTATTATATCTCTATTTTAATATCTCTGAAATCAGCACAGTTAATAAGTCACTGTCATCCAAGCAGCAGTTGTGTGTCATTGGCATTGCCTTAGAAAGACCTTAGCTGACATTTCATTTATGTCTTCCTTTTTATATCTGTAAGAGATTTATGAAAAATATCTAATTTTGCAAGATATCTTTCAATGAGTATAAAATTTTATTGTCATAAAAGAGACTATTCACAATATTGAAACAAAATATTTAAATATATCATTAAATAATAGGAGGCTGGGTGGATAATTACATTTTCTTTATTCATTCATCTGCTGATGGACATATAGTCCTCCTGCAAGATTTAGCTAGTATGAATTATGCTGCTTTAAACATGGGCATGCATATATCACTGTCATATGATGTACTTAATTAACTGTTTTGGGAACTTACCAGGAAGGGGAATAGCCAGGTTGAGTGGAATTTCCAGTTTTAGTCTTTTGAGGAATCTCCACACTGATTTCTACAGTTATTGTATTAGTTTACATATCTGCCAACAACATGGAAGTGTTTCTTGGCACCCCATTCTTTCTGGAGTAAGGTGGAATCTCAGCGTTGTTTTAATTTGAGTTTCTCAAATGGCCAGCAATGTTGAACATTTTGTTCACGTATTTATTGGCCATGTGTTCTTCTTCAATAAGTATAAAGTGACATGTACGTCAGCTGCCCATTATTTATTAGGCCTTCTATTGGGGGGGGTCTATTTTTGGAGTTCTTTATATATTCTAGATATTAGTCTAGTATCTGAGGAGTAGCTGGCAAAATATTTTTCCCATTCTGTGGGTTGTCTATTCACTCGGTTGATTGTCTCCTTTGCTATGCAGAAACTTTTAATTTGATATGGTTCTATTTTTGATTCTTGGTAGTTTTTCTTGTGCAATTCGGGTTCCTCTGTTCAGAAAGTCCTTGCCTATGCTTATGTCTTCAAAAGTTTTACCTGTTTTATCTTTCAGCAGATCAAGTATTTCTGTTTTAACATTTAGATCTTCGATCCATTTTGATTTTAGTCTATACATGCTAAGTGATATGGATCTAGCTTCATTCTTCTGCATGTGGATAGCCAGTTATCCCAGCACCATTTGTTAAAGAGGTCATCTTTCTTCTAGCATATGTTTTTGGAGATCACATAGCTAAATGCACATGGAGTTGTTTCTGTACCCTTTATTCTGTCCCATCAAGCAATGTGCCTTTTTGACCAACAACATACTGTTTTTTTTCACTGCAGCTTTCAAATATAACTTGGAAGTCCAGGATTGCTATGCTTCTAGCCTTGATCTTATTGCCCAGGATTGTTTTTGCTATTCTGGCTCTTTTCTGGTTTCACATGAATTTTGGGATTATTTTCTCTAGCTCTCTGAAGAATGCTATTGATATTTTGATTGGGATTGCATTAAATCTGTGTATTAGTTTTGGAAATATGGCCATTTTGACAATATTTGTTCTGCCTATCCAAAAATAGAAGATATCTTTTTATTTTCTGATATCTTCTTTGATTTCCTTTTTCAGAGTACTAGAATTTTCTCTGTGGAAGTCTTTCACTTCTTTGGTTAGGTAAATTTCTATATATTTCATTTTTTGGCCAGAAGTGGTGGCACACACCGATAGTTCCAGTACTTCAGCAGCTGAGGCAGGAAGATCACTGTGAGTTCAAGGCCAGACTGAACTGCATAGTGAAACCCTATCTCCAAAAGACAAAAAATAAATAAATATTTAACTTTTCTTGATGCTATTATGAAAGGTATTGTTTCCATAACTTGTTTTTTGGTAAGTTTATTATTGGTATACAGGAATGCTATTGATTTTTTCAGTGTTGATTTTATATCTTGCTACACTACTAAATTTAGCTATTAATTCTAGGAGTCTTTTGATGGAATTTTTTGTATTCTATGTGGAGGATCATGTCATCTGCAAATAATGATAATTTGACTTCTTCCTTTCCTATACAACCCCTTTTATTTCCTTCTCTTGCCCAATTGCTTTTGCTAATGTTTCAAGAACTATATTGAACAGAATTGGTGACAGTGGACGTCCTTGTCTTCTTCTTTATATGAAAAGGAAAGTTTTCAGTTTTTTCCACATTTAATGTGGTATTGGCCATTGGTTTGTCATAGTTCTTATCAGATTGTGATGTTTTTTCTACACCTATTTTCTTCAAGGATTTTATCATGAATGATACTGGGTTTTGTCAAATCCAATGTATGTTTCTGTGTTGAGATGATCATATGATTTTTTGTCTTTGCTTCTATTCATGTGATGGTATTATATTTAGTGATTTGCAATATGTTGAACCATTCCTGCATCCCTGGGATGTATCCTACTTGGCCATGATCTTTTTGATGGTTTTGTTGCACTGTATGTCAGTACCTTGAACAGGACTTTTAAAAAAAATTTTAAACTGTTTTAGTTTTATTGTTTGCAGTACATAATGCTTACATTCATCATGTAGAGTGGTATATATACATAACACATCTTAATTATTTTTACTTCCTCTCTCATCCATTCCTTCTCCCTATTTCCCTACTCCTTCTATCTCTTAGTCTCATTCTCATTTGCAAAAGATCTATCTCTGTTTCCTATTATCTGCCTTTTCTTTGCCTTGTTTTGTACACATTTGTAGTACATTAAGATTACATTCATCATGAGTTGTTCCATGTACATGATATATCTTAATTCTCTTTTTCTACACTTCTCCTTGTTCTCCTCCTTCTCCTTCCATCTCTTGGACTTGAGGATTTTTGCAGCTATGTTCAGTTAAAGAGATTGGCCTGTAGTTCTTTTTGGTTGGGTCCTTTGCAGGTTTTGGAATGAGGGTAATGCTAGCTTCTAGGAATGACTTTAGGAGAACTCCGTCCCTTCACTTTCACTAAACATTTTGAAGAGTAGTTGGCATTACATCTTCCCTTAAGTTCTTACAGAATTCAGTGGTGAATCCACTGCGACCTGGGCTTTTATTAGCTGGTAGTTTTTTTTTTTTTTTTTTAATTAGTGCTTCAGTTTCATTGTCTGTTATTGGGTTATTGAGAGTTTTTTTTATATCTTCTTGGTTTGGGTTTGGTAATCCATACATGTTTAAGAATCTATCCATTTCCTCTGAATTCAGAGTGCAGGTTCTCAAAGTAGATACTACTAATAAAAAAGTAGTTATTAATAATAGATAATAATTGGATACTAATAATAGATAATAGATACTAATAATAGATAATAATAATCTTCTGGGTTTTGGTAGAATTTGTTGCGATTTTTATTTTTAATTGCATTGATTTGGGTCTTGTCTTCCTCTTTTTAGTAAGATTTGCTAGGGGTTTGTCTATTTTTTCAAAGAACCAGCTCTTTGATTCAGTGATCTTTTGTATTTGTCATCTCAGTTTCTGCTGTTATCTTTATAATATTTTTTCTTGTATTAGATTTGGATTTGGGTTGTCCTTGCTTTTCTAGGACCTTGAGGTACATCATTGGGTTCTTTGGGCTCACTCTGCTCTTCTGATGTGGGCATTCACAGCTATAAGCTTTTGTCTTAGGTCTGATTTCATCATGTCCCATAGGCTCTGGTATGTTCTATTTGCATTAACATTTGATTTTAGGAACTGTATCATT